AGCACCTGAAATGTGGCTATTGTGACCAAAGAAAAATTTTAGTTTCATTTTAATTAATTTAAATGTAAATACTGTGTTGGATAGCACAGGTCTAGTCTATATCATTGGACACTGGAAAATATTAACTCTAGATACTGGTAGTGTAAATGTAGGAATGGGCAAAAAGCCAAATAGTAAATATTTCAGGCTTTGCGGGCCACATGGTCACTTGCATTGTCTCTGTCACATATTCTTTGTTTTCTACAACCCATTAAAAGTATAAAAACCACTCTTAGCTCAAAGGCTGATTTGGCCATGTGGCAGTAGTTTGCAGATTTCTGGATTATTTAGACTAGTTGTTCCCACACTTTCTTAGTTTGTGGCACCCATAGACCAAAAGAAATACCTACTGGTTCCATTTATTAAGTGCAATAGTTAGGTCCAAACAACTTAATAAGTATTTGTGTCCCAGACACTTAGTAGCCATTTGAAAACAATATATATAAATTGAAGGAAAAGGTGATATTTTTTATTTTATTCTTAAATCACAATTTCTTACTAATTGGATATACATAACTGTTGAACACTGCACAACTTGTCAAAGCTTGGAATCAGTTTGTACACTGCCACTCTGATTTCCTGTACTAATTTAATTAAAAAGTGCTTGCTTTTTATCATAGCAACTGCCAAAAATCTAGCTTCACAATATGTTATTAAAACTAATATAATGTGAATGGGTACTAGTTTGAGCTAGCAGTTCACACAGTGCCCAACATGTCAAGAATTGCTCTGTGGGCCAGGGGCAGGAGGATCGCTTAAGGTCAGGAGTTCAAGACCAGCCTGAGCAAGAGTGAGACCCCATCTCTACTAAAAATAGAAAAATTAGCCAGGCATTGTCTGGAAAGCCTGTAGTCTGAGCTGCTTGGGAGGCCGAGGTTGAGGATCTCTTGAACCTAGGAGTTGGAGGTTGCAGTGAGTTACGATAATGCCACTGCACCGTAGCTGGGGTGACAGAGTGAGATTCTGTCTCAAAAAAAAAAAAAAAAAGAATTTCTCTGTGTCTCTCAAAAATTCAAAATATCTCAGGACACCTCTGTGAGTATGCTGTAGCACACTGGGTTCCAATCAGTAATCAATCAATGTGGAACCAATCAATAATCAATGTGGCAGTCATCAAGAGTTCAACCATAACAGCGTTTTATAAATGAAGCTTAATGTGAGAGTCTGGGGTCTCCTCTTAATATTTCTGTTGAAGGTGGAACTTATGTAATAAATAGAATATTTTAAAAAGGGGGACTTCAGTAAGTTTTGAATCTTATCAGTTAATTAAATGCCAGCTGGTCTGCAGATTGGACAGAAATGATGCTTAGTGACTATTTCAAACAGCAAAGATGTTTAGGTGATCTACAGTTGGTAGTATTTTAATATTTTTATCTGAGAATTTTGAATATGTGTACTGAATTTGAAAATATTTCCAAAGGAGAAAAAATATGCAAGTTGGTGATAATAAAGGTTTAAATAATTTTATTTTAATTACTAATTAAGCAAACATTTGTTGAGCTCCTATTTACAAAGCACTGCTAGGCTATAACAGTGAACATAAGAAATACCACCAATATTCTCATAGAGTTTACTGTTGTGGCAAAGGTAGTTTGTAGAGATAACAGGAATAATTAATTTACATAACAGATTTTTATATTTTTTTACAGGTATGCACACACACACACACACACACTTTTTTTTTTTTTGGAGAGAGAGTTGCACTCTGTCACCCGGGCTAGAGTGCGGTGGCATCATCATAGCTCACAGCAACCTTAAACTCCTGAGCTCAACTGAGCCTCCTGCCTCAGCCTCCCAAGTAGCTGGGACTACAGGTGCGCGCTACAACACCCGGCTAATTTTTTGTAGAGACGGGGGTCTCGAACTCCAGACCTCAAGCGATCCTCCCGCCTCGGCCTCCCGGAGCGCTAGGATTACAGGCGTGAGCCACCATGCCCGGCCTACATAATAGATTTTTAAATTACAATTGGGGTAATGCTACAAAGAAGACATACACAGTGCTACCAAAAATGGTTTTCTTGTCTCTCTTGCCGAGAAAGAGTAGTAAATATAAACACATTGATTCAGGGAAGAACTCTGTGTGTGCAGTAATAGAAAGACTAGTATGGATAGCATAGTCAATGAGGAAGCTGTGGTATGAGATAAAGTATGAAGTCTGAGAGGCAAACAGGGACTGGATCTTGTATAGCTTTGTAGGTCCTGGTGAAGAGTTTATTCTCAGTATGGTGGGAAGCCACTGAAGGGTTTTGAAGTAGGAATGTTTGTGTGGTTCCCCCCCACCCCATGGGTATTTGTTGTTTTTTTTTTTATTTCAGCATATTATGGGGGTACAGATGTTTAGGTTACGTATGTTGCCCTTACCCCCCGTCCCTCCCAAGTCCGAGGTGCGCATCACACTCATTGTTTGTGCATATGCCCATCCCCTCCTCCCTCTTCCCCCCTCCCCCTGTTTTTTTGAGACAGGGTCTACACTTTGTTGCCCAGGCTAGAGTGCCATGGAGTCAGCCTAGCTTAAAGCAACCTCAAACTCCTCGGCTCAAGCAATCCTCTTGCCTCAGCCTCCCAAGTAGCTGGGACTACAGGCTCGTGCCACCACGCCCAGCTAATTTTTTCTGTTTTTCATAGAGATGGGGTCCCGCTCTTTCTCAGACTGGTCTCAAACTCCTGACCTCTAGCAATCCTCCCACCTTGGCCTCCCAGAATGCTAGGATTACAAGCGTGAGCCTCCACGCATGGCCCAGCTGATGGGCTTTAAGGCTGGGAAGTAGAAAATGTCTTAAATGTGATTTATGTTTTAATTAGATAAACCCCCCTGCTGTGTGGAAAAAAGATTGTGGGAGGATAAGAGTAAAAGCAGGGATAACAATGAGGTGGATATATTAGTATTCTACTAAAGATAATGGATTGAGGATATGTTTTGGAAATAGAACTACTAAGACTTGATAATGGATTGAATAGAAGTAAATAGCTGTCACACTTGTTTGATTTTAGAGGAAAAATTTTCAAAGTTTAACCATTAAGTTGATGTTTGCGATTAGGTTTTTTTTTTTTTTTTTTGTAAGACAGGGTCTTGCTCTGTTGCCCGGGCTAGAGTGCAGTGGCATCATCATAGCTCACTGCAGCTTCAAACTCCGGGGCTCTTCCTTCAGCCTTCCAAGTAGCTAAGACTACAGGTGCAACATCCCCCTACCCCCACAAACACAGCCAACCAGTTGTTCATTTCTGGAATAAAACCAACATAACCATGATACATGACCCTTTTTACAAATGCTTCTTTTTGCTAATGTTTTTTATTTTTTTATTTTTTATATTCTTTTTAGGCTGGTCAAGTGAATCTTTTTTTTGTTTGTTTGTTTGAGACAGAGTCTCACACTGTTGCCTGGGCTAGAGTGAGTGCTGTGGCGTCAGCCTCGCTCACAGCAACTTCAAACTCCTGGGCTCAAGCGATCCTTCTGCCTCAGCCTCCCGAGTAGCTGGGACTACAGGCATGCGCCACCATGCCCGGCTAAATTTTTCTATATATTTTTAGTTGTCCAATTAATTTCTTTCTATTTTTAGTAGAGACGGGGTCTCACTCTTGCTCAGGCTGGTCTCGAACTCCTGAGCTCAAACAGTCCACCCGCCTCGGCCTCCCAGAGTGCTAGGATTACAGGCGTGAGCCACCGCGCCTGGCCCAAGTGAATCTTTTTGCTAAATTGTATTTAGGATTTTAATACTTATGGTAATGAGATCGGCATGTAATCTTGCCTTATACTGTATTTATCTGTTTGTGTGTGTGTATGCAATGGAAATGGTCACAGGAAAGGGAGTTTAATTTTCATCTCCCATGGTGGGAAGACAGTTTAATGTCAAAAACTAGAAAAATTAAAAATGGCAATATACACAAGTTATCTAGATTAACAAGTTATCTAGATTAAATACAAAAATAATCAGTTAAAGGTAAAAGTGGCTGCTTTTGGGAAGGAGGATATTAAGGTGCAAGTTGCTACTAGTTTAAAAAACAGCAATTTAACCAGTCTTATATAATGAATTCCTTATACTGGTGCATAACAGTTAAAATTAAAAATATTATTTTAAGTAGATATGAATGTTATTTGTGAACAGGAGGTAAGTAAAACCAGAAGAATCGAAAAACGTGGAGAAAGTGATCAAGGACAAAAGGAAAGGATGAGAGATCAAATTCTAAAAGATGCCCATAATTTTATCTACATTGACAGCTAATTCAGTAATACTAAAAAATAAGCAGACTTTTATTTCAGTTTGAAGTACAGGTTTAGTATGAAGTATTAGTCCCTAATTTTAAGTCTACAATGGCATTTTTTTTCTTACTTAGAGGTTAGGTTCTAAAGTTAATGCATAAAGTGAAAATCTAATTTAGTTATAGGGAGGCAGGAACTGAGACCAATTGAGGAAATTTCAATTGGCCTCTTTCAACATGCCTCTTATTTCTCTCTTTCCAGGGCAAATACTCACTGAGTGGAATTTCAAGCATAATCAGCTACACTATTTAAAGTGTCATTTGTAAGTCTTAAATTTTTTTGCTGAGTACTTATAGTTGAATTTTCCTAAAATATGCACATAAAGAAAATCCACTGTATTTAGATAACTAATTGACTTCCATTCTGGGATTGAATTATTATGTAATCCATAAGCTTTTATAAATTAGGGCAAATTTTTATTTGAATCAGTAAAGTTCATATTATCCGGATCAGAGTTAATCACTGATTTTATTTTAAGTGTGAGAATTTTCCCAGATTATTAATTATATCAGGAGTGGCTTAAAATTTCTGGTTTTATATCCATAATATAGTTTTTTCCTTCCTGGTTTTGATGTTCCCTCAGAAAGTAACCCTAAATTCACAACTGTACTCTTAATCTTATCATAGATTGTAATTTCCCTTCCTTTTTTCTCACCTTTTCTAATATTGTGTATTTGTTATAGAAAAAAATTTTCTTCGGAAATGGATGGGGTGTCTTCCGAGACTAATGAAGAAAAGTAAGTTCATTTGATGCAGCTAGAAATGTTATACTCTAACAGAGAAAGATATTTTTTCAGCTAGTAAGTTCTATCCATAACTCCTAAAATCTTTTTCCATTTTGTTCCAGGGAAAGCCATAGCTTTCATTGCCATATATTTATATAAACTCAGCTAGAGTCAAAACTGAGAGGGACTTTAGACACCACTTCCCATCTCTTCAATTTAAGGATAGGAAAATTTAGGCACAGGAAGATGAAGTGATTTGTCTAAAATTGGCATCACAAATTAGTGGCCTGTTTGTAGCCTATAGACATAATGTTTTCGGCTTACACACGGTGCTTTTGTTTTTGTTTTTAAAGATAGGGTCTTGCTATATTGCCCAGGTGGGTCTTGTACTCCTGGGCTCAAGGGATCCTCCCCTCTTAGCCTCTGAATAGCTGGGACTACAGAAATGCACTACCACACTGGCTTTGGCCTACATGTGTTTTTTAAGTTTTGAATTAGTTAACAAAATTTCAAAATCTCAAGATTTCATACAACAGTTGGATTTTCAGCTCCTCTTGAAGAATCAAGTGTGGCAACAATGGGCTTTTATTCTTGTTTGATAACAACTAACCAGAGCAAGGTAATGACTTTGGCCTTTAAATGAAGCAGGAATTCTCCAGGTCGTTACAGTCTCAACACCACCTGTTTTTCTTACATCTAACAAATTATCTGTTTGGCCTCATAGGCATTTGAATTTTCAAAACCTAATCTAAAACACAGTAGTAAAACCAAAACTGAAGTTTCTTGATTTATTGCCCATTTATCTTATTATTATACTTCTATAAACATGTAAATTATGTTGTACTGATTGTTATTCAAGAGATAGACTTGTAGTACACAGTATGTATTTTAAAACACTGAATTTCAATACTGAGTTTAAACTCTTATAAGTTTTTCTGGCCAGAGTGCTAAATGAAAGTGATGGCCAGTTTAAAAGCATGTAAGGGGTGCTATGATGATGGCTTTTGAAAATTAGGTCTTTTACCCATATGTACATAATTTTTTTTCCTTTTTCAGTGACAATATAGAGAGACCTGTTAGAAGACGACATTCCTCAGTAAGAAAGACATACGTAAATTAATATTTGTTACCTTTTATTGAATGATAACTATATATCACAGTAACTTTATGGCTTTACTGTCCCACCCCCACTGGTTTCCTATTGCTCTGTGGATAAAGACTCAAATAATTAACCTGGTTATACAATTCTATAAATATACTAAAATTCATATTTTATTAATTTTATGATTTTACATTATGTAAGTTATACTTTAATAAAGCTGTTCAAAAAATATATTTAACCTGGTGCAAGAGACAAAAATCCAACCCAAACTGATTTAAGTACCAAATGTATTGGATTATGATACTAAAAACTCCAAAGATAGGGATGGATTTAGGCACAACTTACTGACCAGGGGTTCCAATAATGTCACCAATTCTAGGATTTACTTTCTCTTTTTTTGCTCTGGCTGCCTACTTTGGGTAATCTCTATCAGCAGATTGACTCTCTTCCTGGGATTACTGTGGTATATCTAGATCTCCCAACTTCAAGTTCAAGTCCTACGTGAAGACTAGTATTTGTTTGTTCAAGATAGAAAAGATTCAGAATTGAATCATGTTGGCTCAGTTATCCTGATATGGGTCAAGTCCTCATTCCTGAACCAATCATTATTGACAAAAGACTATCAGATTGTTCTAGACAGGGCTACATGTTGTACCCTAGAGTGGTGTAGAGCAGAGCTGGGGAACCTTTTCATGTTGGAAGCCTTCATTAATTTAGTTCTAATAAAATAAGGCTGCATTCAAGAAGAAACTTCAATTAAAAATACTTAAAAATGTACATTATTTTGTAAAAATCTAATTACTATGTACTTAATAATTTCAAAAAATCAAAACTATTTGTTAATTTTAAAGTTAACCTTTTAATGATTCTGTTGTGTCTGCATTTTGTTAGAAAGCATTTCAATATTTGGTTGCAGCATGGAAATCTGCAGTTTCAGTTGATCCTCTAAATGGATATCAGTTGTTTGTGACCTTAAGGGTGTCTTGATTTGGGTTAGTTAGTAGAATGTGGATTTGCAGCAGTAAGTGGTTGAAAAACAAGAAAGCATTTTTTAGGCATGTTGCCAAAGACATGGATAGTCTACTACATTTTTCCATATTTCAGTTGGATCTTTCTGACCATCAAACAATAACTTCAAATTGTCATCTTTTGAGAGCTCAATCAATTCCATCTATAGTTCTTCAGGTGCCTTGGTGATATCAACTAGGTGAGGCTGAAATGCTAATTTGAGTGTGATGGCATGATATTCAAAGGCAGTGAAACTTTCATTATATTCTCCAATTCATAGGTCTATAACAACTGTGTATTCTTCAAATGATTTGCATGTATCACCCTGCTCATCAGTAACCTCTGCTAACTGGGGAAAATGTTCATCTGAAATTTCCTTTTGAAGAAGAAGTTTTTTGGAAAACGATAGCTTTTTTCAAAATGTTTGGATTTTTTGCAACATATCATATACAGATTTAGTTTTACCTTGCCAAGAAATATTAAAATTGTTTTGATTTGACATGATATCACACAGAAATGCTGCATTACTATAGAAATCTTCTTTCAATAATTTGCATTGCTGATTCTGTTCTTCATAAAATTTGACTGTCTGTTCTGGCAGAAATAAAATTTTGGCTAATACCTGTGCTTGTGATAGCCAACGCACTTTAGAATGATAAGACAAATCCACATTGAATACCTCATCCTTCAACTCTAGCATGTTAAGAATATAGTTAACATGATTCCACACCCTTGTAGTAATGGCTAATAATAACAACAACAAAAAAAGAATACAGTTAACAATACTTATAACATGTTGCAAAGTGTCACTTA